AATAGCAGGGCAGTTTTCTCGTGAACTATTTTGGTCAAGAGATACCAAATCGGTCATTCTTTTTTTGAAAAAAAAATGTGCGCAGCCAATGTGTACATTAACTGTCTGTATATAAAATTGTTTCAAAATAATGAGAAATCAAAGGAGAAGTTAGTACTAGAAATGAGTTCATTGCAAAGAGATGGCAATGAACCTGTTTTATGGAAATATTCATGGTGGAGGAGATTTCAACTGATGCGCCCATATTGATGTCATTATTCGAAGCACCCTTATATCCAGGAGCCGAAAATAACGTGAGCATGCATCCACCCGAAAACAATGCATATCCATGAAGCGGCGCCTGTAATGACTGATTGGAGAGTTGTAATGAAGCACAGTTATTCTCGTGAAAATTCTTGTCAAAGGTCAACACTCCCCACGTATTTCACTCTCAGTGATAGGCTGAGGCACCCAGCAACTAGCGTGAATGGTAGCAAATGCCAACAATAACTACCCACTGGTAAAGCTGTAGATGATTCCCTCTTCCGAGAACTGCTTTACAAGCATGTTGATGGCGGGTTTGACTTCCTGGCATATACCAGTGTCAATTTACCATCGAAACGAATCGTAGAGGGACCGTTTGTTCTACTGGCCGACCCACTACACGACAACACTGATATCCTACTCTACCGTGCCTGCCGGCGAAGATTTTTGTAATCTTTGAATCAGCTTCTTCAGAATGTGAAATGATAACCAAACACTACTCGCACAAAAGCCAGCGAGCTTACGGGAATTAGCCCTACTCTTATACAAAAATTCTGGATTTCAATTGTAGGAAAACCGTTTCTTTACGGTTCATTTATTCATTTCGACAGCACACTCATGTATGCTGGAACAGCGCCTTCAGTTTGGTTCCAAGACGAACTTCAAAAGAAACCGTCACAGACAATCTTTTCAAGCTGTTAGAATTCTTGTTTGCCTTTCACCTCCATTACATACTGCATCGCAACAGAACTTCTGATTCCAATTTCATGAAATTCTTTGTGCTTTTCAATCACATTTTTATCACAGTTAAGAAAAATTTTAAATTCCGATAAAGCGGGAATTCTGTGAATCATAGGGATAATTGTCTTTAAGCTTTACTTGAAATTTCATTTTTCATCTTCGCTTCATCTGACTAGTCTTTAGAGAGAACCACAAAGTTTTAAAAAGGAAATAAGTATGACCTGATGACCACGAATAATCATGTCGATGCCAAGTTTTTTGCATAAACTTTGAACAGTATCAGGCGAAAAAAGTTGTCCAATACCATAAACAGGCTCACGTTCAAGGTTACTACGGAAGCCAGTATGATCAGGTGCTGTATCCGGATCCGACCACACCAAATCACATTCCAGCGTTCCAACTTCGAATTCTTCCAAAGGTCGTTTGATTTCACGAATTGCCTGAACAAATGTCTACCGTTTTTCCAAGTATTTTGGTTCAACCGCTCTTAACTGATCT